ATTTATTGCCTAAAAATGTTATTATTGCCTAAAAATGTTACATTATAACACTGCTCGTAGAGAAAGTGATTTTTTCAGTGTATTCTGACTCTGAACGCTGTTATTTGCTCGTAATATTTACGTTTCCATGCTCTATTTTGGTCTTATGATGCAACCTTTTGGAACCCGACTTAGCTTTTTTGGATTAAATGTATAATACCTGTTTTTGAGTAATCCAGGAATACCATCAACCAAGAGATGTAGAAATGTCGTGAAAGACCATTTATGTGCCTTTTGACACGAGTTGGATTTGTTGTCCGGAGGCCAAATCGGGTAATCTTTTGATTAAGCTATCGTATGATGTAAAGATTTATACAAACTTGGAAGAAGTAATCAGGGCCTCAGCAGTTCGTCAGCTTGCATGATTTTTTATTATATGACTATCAATGATATACCTAGTATTTCTCTCTTTCGAAAACCACTCTATTTTCACTGCTGAAAAAAACGCGTAGTACCTCTACATTTTTAAGCTGAATGAAAAGTTACTTTTTCCTTTTTTTTCTTTCATGGATTTAAATTATATGATCAACATAATGTGGCTTCATCTAAAGTATAAAACAARAAGGACTAGCTAAAATTAAGTCCATTGTTTTGTCGTCTAGATGAAACTACATTCCTACAAGCTGTGAGCCTCAAGTGCGTCTAGTCTAACATAGCTTTGGTATTTTAGTTCCTGTGGGTATCATATCAATCGGCAAAGCAGGTGTCAAGCTCATAAGAGGCGAAATGAGTGGTCGTTATCTGGCWATGAACAGAAATGGAACGATTTTTGCGACGGTAAGAGACAAATAAGTATATTATTATTGGCCATAGTATTAAATTATCATTAAAATTGTAAATTCTAGAAGCTTCCCACTACCCATATGGCTAAGGACATACCATATATTTTTTTAACTACTAATGAATTCTATAATCAAATCTATAAATGATCTTACTATCTATTCTCACACACTGTGTTAGAGCGGATTTCGTATCACTGTACATATATAAAAATTGATAAAAATCACTTTCGTGCCGATACCGTACTTTGCCGTGACKATTCTTTATTTTTGATCATGAATCACCATTTTCATTTAGCGTCACTACCATGTGAGGTCCCGTGAGGGTATGACATYGTGCCTTTGTCCAGTCATACGAAATCCGCTTTAACAAATGAATCTCTCCTCTTGACTAAAAATAACTTCGTTGAAATTCTTAGAAATCTGTAAGTCAAGAAAACATGTTTTACATGCGTACTACAAGAGATGGCTACACAACGTTCGCATCTTTCATCTACTACAGTAGGACTAATACCTCATACGATAGCCTATTGGCACTAGACTCCAGTGGTAGACTTGAAATGAACTTCGAGACGGTACCTTTGCAAACCTCGACAAAATTTCTTGCGGTACCAAAAGCTTTTTGCTGATATAAAATGCTTAATAAAGAMATTCTTCACATTGGATAGGAGGATCTCGTACCTAGCGTTGGACACTTTAGAGCGGTTTTCCTTATATCGAACGTGGCGTAGTACTCGAAAGATTTCAGAAAAATGTGCCAAGGAWTCAAAACAAAATYAGATATTRAGATAGTTCTATTATTTTCAGATTGATCACAAATTGCACTCAAAATAGGTGTTTGTCAACTGTCCTTCAAACTGCTTCAAACTTCAACTGTCCGTCAATGMTTCTTCCAATGCACCATGTACTAACTAACCCCTGGCTACGACGTCTCTATGWCATCTAAATCATTAACAATTTTCATCATATACCGGCWTAGATGGGCGCAAACCATAAAAACTTTTAGAATGAACCACTKTCTMATCAAACAGCCATGACTAAGTTGATTATGAAAAGTTCAACAAAAGGTTTTTGAATGTTYAGTGGTTTCCAATAGCTGAAATGGTATTCTATAAATGGTAACTTGTGCACCAGACATTCTTACTCTATTATTTTTTTGTCATACAAAATATAACATTATGTAATTATAGAAGCCTGTCAAATATAAAYTGTAAAAATAAGAATGCAAAATAAACAGGTATTGTATTGTATTGCTCKCATACATAGTATGCTATTCCTGGTAAAAACGTTCTCGTCGATTTTAGCATCCATCTTAGTGATCCATCTTTGAAATGTGCCAATATAGACTGTCTGTTTATCATTTGAATTACATTAAAGCTTGATACGATATATTTCAGTAGACATGCAGGCGCAAAGTCCTTCTGGGTAGCAGGTGTAGGGAAGCAGGGTGTGTGTGCTGTGACTTTACGTAGTTCTATATTCACATACTCTCTTCTTCTTCTTTCTTTTCCTTTTTCCTTTTTAATTTTTTGTTTTTTTTTCTTTTTTTTATTTCTTTTCTTTTCTTTTCTTTTTTTGTCCAGAGCAAAATCCTGCACCACCCTCTACCCCTGATGACTCCTCCCAGAAGGTGATTAACAAATATTCAAATTCGCTCAGCTGCGCTTAATGCAAAAAATATCTGGTTTACAGAAATGCGCATGTAGGCATTAATTCTTGTTTTTCTAAAACAGCAGGCATCTTTAGTTAACTTTCACAGTATAAGAATATTTATAGATGTAATAACATTGTGGTGACGTCAAATTGATGCGCATCCATTAAGCTTAACTTAGATAGGCTATTTATATCAAATATTGTACTACATTCTTTGAATTATTGATGTAAAATTATACATATAGTATTATGAATATGACATTACCGTGTTATTTAAATCTTTAATATTAAAAAGTACTAAAAAACGTGAATGTGTTGTTAATGAAACAAAAAATGGGCGTATTTTGAGTTGAATTTTATACTCTGGGTTGGATTCACGATGAAAAACAGGAATATTGAAGGGTTTCCTTCCTTGTGTGCCATTCCCATGTTCTACAATGTTATGGTTTTTTTCATGACAAAATTATTTGTTACAGAGTCGTGCCTTCTAACATCCTGAAGAAAATAGCGATAATTTTGTTTTGCAGAGGGTGCCCAATTTGAATAGTGGATCGACATATAGCGTGACAGTCGGCGGAAATAGAATTTTACGAASAGCAAACAAGAAATAAAAATCGAATGATCAAATTGTGYTCCGTTTCTCYATAAATCAGTMAAGTTTGTTTAAGTCCCTTTAGACGCTTCCATTTATTAATAAACTTCTCAGATATTTTCTGAGTTAAATAAAATGTACTATAACAAATAATTGYTTTTGTAAAGCTTGTTTTTGTAAACATCATTATTCTGTGAAAATAAAGACACTCAGCTCACTGCTGTGTTTTTGAATTCTACTATTAAGTATCTGGCTGAGACTTCCTCTATGAACAGTGACAAAGAAATGCGTACGTTGAAAGAACTTGCACCACGCCAGACGTCCATATTTACGACTTGATATAGYACTTCATGCAGTGATCAGTCTCTAGTTTGTCACGAAAATTTAATTCATAAAGGAAATTTAAATAGGGAGTCGTTAGACTCGGGGCGTGTTCTTAACGAGTGTTATCAAAGCTTTAATAAGCAAWTTGTGAGGGATGTTTCAATATSRGSTCGTAGCTGGCCAACGCGATACTTCCAAWARCTAAAATAATGAAACATAYTCATGTGTGAGAAATAGTGCAACRTACACAAGAATTATTGCTGAAAAGCGAGCAAGTTTGGTTTACGCCTCCCTAATCCGTCGAATCAGTGGCGGATTCAAGGGGGGTCGAAAGCTCTCACGAAACCACTTTTGAATTGAAAGGATTGTYTTTTTTAGGTAATAGAGATATGCCTTATGGAAATATACATTAACAAAATAATATCATTAGATGCGTAAAGTAGGATACCTAGAAGTTTCTTCAGACAAATATTTCGAACGAAATCCATGCATCATGAGTGTGTAGCTCACTGAGTCGATGCAATAATACCTGTGGGGCTTCATCAATTCAAAAGGTTCAATGAAAACTATTGTCCTTGGATGAGTTCAGGTTTGTGGTTATTTTATAAGGATCGCTTTAGCTATTTTCCGCTTATATTTTATAGTGGACATAACTAGCATGACCATGTTCCATGGCGCAATGCGCTTGACAAGGGTTGATTTCTTGTCCCTCGTTCAAWGGTCTGTTTACGCTCTCTTAGTATTCTTAGGGATTGGTGTTCTGGGCAAGTGGCTTTGGGTCGACGTGTTTGTGTTGAAGGCGTGGCCTGTCCTTAGCAGGGAATTTTGAGTTTTATGTTTTTTTACACACATTTTATGTTAGTGTTTTCTGGGTCGTTTAATTAGGTTTTTTCATTTCCAATTTGATCTGAGAAGGCCATTAGAGCATATCAGTCTGCATTGTGTTAGTTTGAACGTCAAAACATCGTCCATTTAGAAAAAATTACATTATTATATGCATTTGAAAAACGGCGGTCTTTCATTTAAAAATCTTGGATCGATCAATCAGTTATTTGGTCGGCTCGTTCACTTTTTTGTCCATCCACGCATTTGGAAGTAGTCTACCCCCTMATCACCCTTCTCTTTCCTCAGACCATCATCCTTACGTCCGGGTTCTTTTTACAATTAATGCACCTATTCTGAGTCACAATAGGTACAACATTCCGTGTGTCCGAGCCGTTCGTATATTGTAATATGTCAAATTGATTTAAACTCAATTTCTCTGTCTAACCACGCCTCTGCACTTTCCACTATGATGTACTTAAAGACCTATTACTTCTTTGAAGTCCATTTCAACCCAGTTATATAAAAGTTTTTTTTTTAAGTCTCAAGGACGCCAACTCAAAATGATTTATAATGAGTCGTAATGTTATTGTAATGATAATTTAGATTGCACTGTTATTATATAGCATCTGTTAATTATGAGATGATATTTCAGTAAAACTGTAAATAATTTTCTTCCCACCTGTGGATTAAATTGAATCATGTTTTGCCGCTGTCTAGTAGTCATATAAATACTGCCTGTGTGATAGTTTGAAAAAATTATATTAAAAGTCAGRAAAACCTAATGGCTACTGGCCGTGTACTCATGATGGCAAGATTAATACTGGTAACTAGAACCTTCTATGTACATCAAATTGAATTGAGACGTTTTTGATCTGATGTACTTGGACAAGTGTTTTTTTTTTTTTCTATTCAATTATGTTCTAAAATTTATTTTAGTTTAGACTCAATAATTGTTGTCTGGAAAAATACAAAACCGGAAATTATTGGATGTCTTGAATAGATGTTGAATCTCATATTTTTTTATCTTACTTTATTTTTTCAATATATTGTATATGTTTTGTAAGTTAAGTATGTTTTGAATGGTTGTCGAAATAGACGACATTTTGGCAGACATATAAGAGAGTTTGAAAATCGTAAAAAAACCTGAATCTTCAATGCCCCAGTGAACTATAACGAAATGGCTTAGTTATAAATCAGGACATGAATTTAAATCTAGATAAGCTTTAATGGGAGTCAATTTTAGGCAGAAACTACAGGATRGTTAGCAGAGATGTAATTTTTTTCTTCAGTTGATAGTTTTTGATATTCGAGGTCAGCTTTAAAATTGTAACCCAGACACTGTGTCATATATAGGATTGAGAAATACGTATCCATATATCACTWAATGGCTTCCATCGCATAAAGTAATCATTATTCAAAAAATAGACGGTCGTGTATAATCATGACTGCTGTTAGCCAACGAGGTCGTTCAGCATTTTGCAAAATATATACGACAATCAAGATTGAGCCGAAGAATTGTTTTGTCTTACTGTCTTATAACCGATATACTTGATTAAAATTAAAGTCGAGTATCATCGTCCCACTCAAGCTTAAAACTCTTAACCTGTCGCCATTTTGTTTTTATCTATTCAATGATATAATAGATGAGCAGCCATTCAAACCACATGTTTGCCTATATTTATGGATATGAATTGCTAAACAACCCACCGACTATAAAGTTCTATTATTTCAAAGAGAGGTTAAATAATCTTAATAATAATGCGGCATTGAGCTTTATACCGCCTAAMTTAAGACGTACTAAACAAACGTACTGCATAGACGCATCATAAAGTTTATTTTTTGGTAACTTTTGAATCATTATCTTTTTGAACATTATTTTTATAAACAAAAATAGAAAAACTTAAGAGTAAATAGAAAAAGGATCTCAGAAATCTCTCCAGAATTGAAGACAGAGCTATATACTCTGTTAGTTACCAAGAAAACTATCGCCATTACAGAGCAAAAAATAATTATCTTTTTCTTGTGTGTGAAAATTCTCTTTTGATCGTTTCAACTAACTGAGTTCCTGCTGTTTTAATTGAAAACTGTTTTCARTGTATTACATCAACCAATTTGAGCACGAATTTATTATATTCACAACCAAAGAATGTAAAATATAATTCCTTTATAATTCGCGCTGATCGGCACTTTACTGTGTAATCAATTCAGAGAGTAGAGAAAAAGCGAACAAAAAWTGCCACTGCAGCATTTCAAATGGATAGCGACGGCGGAATGATTCAAAACAAAAGTACTTAAGAGCACCTATTCCTAAAATTGCCATTTTGTTGAGAATTTTTACACAACTATTCAACTTTAAAGGGGAATTTCAGTTTAAATGAAAAAACCCTGGCTGGACTGAGTTCCTGTGATGAGAGTATATTGATATAATTCACAACAGTGTTGATTAAATTTGTCACGCTGAACAAAAGTTATTAGTTCCGAACTAATAACTTTTGTCGGTAGATTATTCCAGAACTCAGGTGTAAGACAGATGCTACGTCGTCATAAAATCATACGAGCAGACTTCTCGTGATGCAAGTGTTAAAGTACAAAGAAAGAAACCTCAAACAAAATGGCAGGTTGGCAGGTGAAACGTCATCTCTACCACCCCACGTCATTTCACAATGAAAGTCCCTTTTAGGGGTCATTTTCAGAAGTTCACGACATTTCCCACGAGGACCCCTAACCCATTTTATAAGTCTGAAACCAAATTATACATTAAATAACTAATCGTTTTGTTGYTATTATTATCACAGGTGATGTTCCTTTCGATAGCTGTGTCATTAGCATCTACGATATCTAGCAATGTTATAAAGATATCAAACGGTCAACTTAAAGTCAATTCTGGAAGTTATTCTCTRCATCCTTCTGTTATTGTAATAGTGAAGTTATTGAGTAAAACAGGAATGACTTTAGAAATTAACAACAAAGGCAGAGTTAGAGGAACACACAATATTTGCTCAACAAAAACTGGTAAGCAAAAAGGGTTGTTTGTAACATTCTTTAATTTTTATGTATTCTCTTTCTATCTTCCCAGCAACTTCCTCTTTTTTGTTGTTGTTGTTATTATTACATTTGAGCAAGACGTTTTTTTTAAAAAAAAAAAACAACCGTTAAGTGCAACAAATACAACCTCAATTAATTTCGAACCCATGGAGTCTTCACGGCTTAGATATGAATATGAGTCTTCACGGCTTCTGTCAGCCGTCGGGGGAATCCACTGTATAGTTGTGACGAAATCCGAAGATCGTGGGTTCGAATCCCAACCAGTCCGGAAAATAAGTTTTCCGAATTTATTTCCAAGGGTCTTTTCATCCGGAATAACCTTCTTTCTACTATAACTTTCCATGATTTTCACTTCTTTATTATTGTAAAACATAGCGATGTGACAAACTAATGTGACTAACTCTGATAGCCAGAGTTATTAACGATCCATTTGTTGAACATTTTTAGCTGAGATGGAACTTCTGTCCGTTGGTTCTGGAATTAAGATGATACGTGGTGTGTTTAGTGGACGATACATAGCTATGAACCAAAATGGCATCGTGTACTCTACGGTAAACCAATGGCTGGAGAGGGACATGGGGTTTTAAAATCAGTGGATTCGGCCATTCTTTATATGATACGGATTTTTGATATTTTTAATTGCGTATTTGCGGATCGCTCAAACTGTAAAATTCGAGGATATAAGAAACTGGATGATTTAGGCAAATTTTCTTGGTGATTTGAACCGGATTTTTCTGGACGGATTTGTGGGCCGCAATTCCCTTAGCTTCATGGGCCCCTCTTCTTAATGATGATAAAGCTGATTTTGATGATAATAATGATGATTTGATGTAATGGTGATGTTGATGTTAATTGCCGATAATATACACTTTCTTTTGGAGAGAAGATAGCTATAGGATGRTAATTTACATTGTGACCCGGCTTTTCGGCAAAGTTTGATATTTCTAACTAGTCTTCTTTTACATTTTAAGAAAAAATCAGGAAAGGAGGCGCTATTTTATCAAAGATCATCCCTGATTGAACCGGATTTCGTAACATTTGCCTCAATGAAGTATTATAGACGAAGTTTGTTCGATTCATTTCTGGCCGTSAGAAGAAATGGCACAATGATTCCTGGGTCCAAGACCAATGCAGTTCAAAACTCATCCAAGTTCCGTGTGCTACCATCGCGTTTGTTACCGTGTCCCAAATCGGATTTCAACAAATTGRTCATCTAGGATTGGCATTGTAACAGATGAAAGACAATTAACCCGTTGAATAAATATTACTACATCTAATTATATGTCTAAACGCTGAGACAGAATTCTATCTCTTATGTGAAAGACTGGTAGATCTGGTTTTTGGACTTTTCGAGAGAGAATTCTGGCTGAGCCTCAGCCGCGGCGCGGCCTACACTCTCCTTGTTGTCGTTTGCGTTTATTTGATAAAATCAAGTTAACAGCTGCCCAGCCAGAACCCAAAGGTATCTTCGCCAATCACAGCCACCCCATATGCCCGGCTCTTTTGAGGAAACATGGCCAGAAATTCCGGACATTTGAGCCCGGGACGAGTCAGCGGGTTTTCCCACCAAAATAGAGCTTTCTACAAGTTCCCTTGAGGTTTGAAGATCAAATTTTCTACTCTTATGCAACGATCATTTATCTTAATGCAATACTGGGCTAAAATCGAAACGTTCAAAACATCGACAAACGAATATTGGGATAGCACGCCCTGATCGTTGAGTTTATTAGTGCCTTGTGAGGTGCTCGTTTGGAATGTTCATAGTCAGGAACCCATTACTCCTGTCATWGTGTAGATAATATTATTTGCTGGAACACACGTTTCCCTCAGGTATTTTAAACAACAATGATCATCAGTTGATATTGTGATCTTTTGTTTATACTTGTACATTTCTAAGGAATTTAAATGGTCTGACATTGTTTGCACTAGACTTGATTGGCCTATCTTTCGTTCGTATTTCCCGCTATCTGCGCTATTTACCAGTGCGCGCAAGGCGCCAGTAAAAACCACCAAAATTAAAGCAGTCCCAGTCTGAAAGCCACGTTTCTAAGGTTTATTTTGGTACCAAACATGGAGAATAAAATGGAAAGAAAATGGAAGATTACGCCAAGTATTCGCGTGAAACACGCGTCTTCGCCAGCCATTTCACCGTCAAGTTAGTGTTTTCAAATTGTACGATTTCTAGTACCAAAAAGGACGCTGTTGATCGTCTTCAAAATAGCTGAAAATCGCTGTGTTCCTACCTCAATATGTGGACTTTGAGAAATGATCTATGGAATATCAGTGACATGTAAAGGAACACGATCAGCTACGGTGAAATTTCGCTTCTTCGCGAATTTTCACCATGAGATACAAGGCCAAAGGGAGACGACGAAAGGAAAATAAATTGTCAAAAAGGACGCTGTTAACAATATTGGATTTATTTGGATTTCCTACAGTGGAATCAAGAATAGTTTCCCTCTACGAATTCATCTATGGAATCTTTCCAGTTAAAACAGATGAAATGTTATTCTCAAATATTTTTTTTGATCCATACATTTCTTTGTAAAATTTACAAACATGTTTTTATGCATTTATGCGAAGTACCGCTGCGATTGCGGGCTCAAATGTCCGGATTTTCTGGCCATGAA